CAAAATCTAGGTTTTATGATCGAGTCGAGGAGCTGCAACCCTCAAAACTGTTTACACAATGTTAAACTATTTAGGTTTGTTTTCACGAAGGCTTGTATTTGCAARGGCACGTTATCTTACGGTGGTTTAACCTATACTTTCCTATATTTGTTTTTTAGAGACAAAAGTAACACAAACAATATAAAACTAAATCACATATCCGTATTTACACTGGACGGAAAGAAAAAAACCCGACATGAAAGCTCTGTTGGTGCAATAATCATCAAAYGTTGCTTGCAATCAACAACTTCAAAGTATAAACATCACGTTATAAGTAAATTAAAAGAATTTTGGAGAGATATATGTAATTTTGAATAAATCAGAATCTTAAAATCTAGGTTTATCGAGTCGATTAAGAGCAAACTCACAGACATGTTTGCACAACATAATATTTTGCTTTGTTTTCACGAACAAAAGGTTCATAAATAATCTTTATTGGGTTTATACAGCTTTAACAGACCGCCACGCGATCTCCATGACGCATAGAGCCATGATACATTAAGTCTTAAAAGTAGAAAATTGTTTCATATATGTTAGAAAGGTCGACCACTTATTTTATGATTCGATTGGGCAAGATTTGGGCAACAAAAATTTTAATATGATAGCCACTCAGTGGAATAAAACGTGATTCACCATAAACTGGAATCGAAAACCTACAAAATGAAATCTGAACTAAATAAGATTTCCCAAGTTAATGAAAGCCATCCACTACATTACGTGATTAGAACCTGAATCTTCACTAAAAACACTTTTAAGAAGTTTTATTTTTTATCATGGTGGGAACTAGCGGTAAACTAGTGTGAGCTGCGTCGGTGTTTCTAAAGAAACAGTTGTGTAAAAAGATAAATTAAACACCGTAAAAAAAGTATGTGAAATAACTTACTGACGTTTCGGACATTAATCCTCCGACGAAGGATTAACTTCCGAAATGTCAGTAAGTTATTTCACATACTTTTTTTTTACGGTGTTTAATTTATGTTTTTACACAACTGTTATTTGTTATCAGTCAATTCTTCGTTTTTAATTCACCACGACCATCTTGGAGGAACTTCAACTAAGAATTTCTCATTAGTATCTTTAGTTCATTCYTCCAACGTGGCTGCCGATCGATCAACGATCAATTTAGTAGGAGTTAAATATTGAACGGATATACTACACGAGTAAATTAACCGAAAATGAATTATCATTATCCCTGCTAGCTCAGTCGGTAAAACACGAGACTCTAAATCTCATGGTCGTAAGTTGGGTGACTGCTGATCTATATTAGCCGACAAATCAGTTTAGTCACTTTTACCCATGATTCCCCTTTTTTGAATACATAATCCAATTTTGTGCTGTCCAGCGTGCACTTGTATTCAGTAACACATTTGAATGTTAATTATTCGCAAACTCATATCAAATGCATATCAACTCCCACCGTGTTTATATCAGAGGACAGAGACACAAGCGGCCGTTTTATATTTCTTTTATAAAATTTTTCGAGCGAAAAGAAAATTTTGCCGGTAAGCCGTGTCTTTGTCCTCTGATATAAACACGGTCGTCAGCCAATCAGAGCGCGCGTTATAAATGAAAAATTTTATAATAAGTAATAGACAACACAATGTCAAGACTCATCGAATCTATTTATTGGTATATTCTACTTGAAGATCACAAATCACTAATATTCCCATGTGTTAATATGGTTTCTTTATTCGTTGTGTGACTTCACTGGTTGTCATTATGGGCGTGGTCTCCTGGATGGACGTCCAGATGGGCGTGGTCTCCCGGATGGGCGTGGTCTCCCGGATGGACGTGGTCTCCTGGAAGGGCGTCCAGATGGGCGTGGTCTATTTTCTTTAATGCATTTCATGAAAGCTTTTCGGCATTCCTTCTTTTTTTCAAGATCGTCTCCAGCAGCTTTAAAGCACTTTTTCGCTGCCATTCTGCACTTTACCTTCAATTCAATATTTATAGAATTAAAAAATGTTCAGTGAGTAAAAAATAGCGTTAATCCTGACGATCATTAACAACAATCACTCATTATCATGTTGTAAATGATCCCTGAAACTATATATATTTACTTTTATATAATACTAAGTCCATAATACTGTTGTCACTCTTAATCCCTTATAGTAATTAACAACGACTTACAACAAAAGGAGGCCGGGATGGGCGTCCAGATGGGCGTGGTCTCCTGGATGGACGTCCAGATGGGCGTGGTCGCCTTGCATCTTCACTGTCACTGTCAGGAGCCCTTGTTGGTCTGTTGTCTTTAATGCATTTCATGAAAGCTTTTCGGCATTCCCACCTCTTTTTAGGATCACCGCCAGCAGCTTTCATGCATTTCGCTGACTCGGCCTTACATTTGAGCAAAAAGTCAGGAAGGGTTGGTCGTGGTCGAAGCGTTGGTCGGTTTTCTCTGATGCATTTTACAAAGTTTAATCGACACTGCAACATCTTTTTAGGATCACCGCCAGCAGCTTTCATGCATTTCGCTGACTCGGCCTTACATTTGAGCAAAAAGTCAGGAAGGGTTGGTTTTGGTCCAAGCGTTGGTCGTGGTCGGTTGTCCATGATGCATTTTATGAAGTCTCGTCGACACTGCATTTTCTTTTTAGGATCACCGCCAGCAGCCTTCATGCATTTCTCTGACTCGGCCTTACATTTCATCTTTATATAAAAATGAATAGATAAATCAGTTACATGCTTACAGTTGATTTGGGTAACAACGATTAGTATGGTACATAGTATCTCAATAGTTTTACTCTGGTAACTGCTTATATAAGGTCTACATACATCAAGCAAATGTCAATATTGCCATTTTAATTTAATTCAGAAACACTTACCAGATAAGGAGGAAGGGATGGCCGTGGTCTACCTGCATCTTYACTGTCAGCATTGTCAGACTTGGGCCTATTATCACGGAGACACACTGCAAGTTCTCTTAAGCATTTCATTTTCTTAAAATAACTTCCGCCAGCAGCCGTCATGCATTTCTTTAATTCGGCATTACACTTGAGGACGAAGGGGGGGACGGTTGGTTTTGGTTGGTTATCTTTAATGCATTTCGCAAAGTCTTTTACACACTGCAAAATCTTATGATAGTCACCGCCAGCGTCTTCCCTGCATTTCTTTGACTCGTTTTTGCACTTGGCCTATAAAAATGGATGAAGCGTGCGTTAATAACATTCATTTATATACATTTGAAAGGCATTAACATGACTAAATATTATGTCTATATTCTAACAAGCATTAAGTGGAATAACGACGTTTACAACAACACCTTGCCTGCTTCTCGCTATCCTCATAACATGTTAACATCATGCATGTCCGCTTTATTAAAACTAGCTAGGTAGTCAGTGAAGCGTCGGATAGACTGCATTACTTGTTCCAACTTACCAGATAATCGTTCATGTCCATTTCAGCATCAAAGTCAATCTCTTCGACCTCATCTTCATACTCTGCCTTAAGGAGTGTCGCAGAAGCGAACAAGAGAATTCCAACAAGCAAGAACTTCATGGTTGTAGATTTCCACAAACTGGTGAAGAAATGCCTCTCAAAACAGCCCTTTAAGTACTGTTCACCGACACGTGTCGTTTTGACTGTTTACATTGTAATAACCTTCGTAATGACAATGGTACAGGACGAAAATTCTAGTTGTATTTAATCAGCCGAGTAGTGGGAGAGTTTTAGTTTACATAATATACTGCAACATGGACAGCAAAAACAAACATTTACTTTGAATATAATAATAGCCTAATTCCCAGGAATGAAGGGGGGTTAATGCCACACCAACTTGGGTAGAGTTGCCTGTTCTTTCCAGGAACTGTCCGCCTAAGTTTTTGACTTTGCATACTCCTAGACCGCACTAAATCCAGGAATATTTGTGCGTACTATTCCAGATTATCCCTGACTTTGATACATTTAACTCAAGACTAGAAGCCGAATAACCTTACCCTTTCACGGATCGGAGCACATACAACAAAGATGGGAACAACCCACCCCATTCACAGGGGGACTAACTTAATTAAACTAAGACCTCAAGAAGAGCTAAGATTAGCTTTCTTATCTGAAAGGATTCAGAGATTACGTACGAAAAACGTCCTAAATTTCCCGTTTTAAGCGTTTTTATTATCTCAGATATCATAGAGTCCAAAAGATTATTTCAGTCCATCTGTAAGTTATAAACTTAATAAAAAGTGTCTTTCTATATTTCCTTTAGTATTTGCTTCAGGGGCCTCGTGTGTTTACCAAAAATACAGGTATCAACAAATGGGTTAACTGAGCATTTAACCAGCTACCTCCTGTGTTGATTTACGAAGAAAGGAACATAAACAGAACTAAAGCCATACTGAAATGCTTCGTTTATCCGACACAGTGTTCATTTGTTTGAAAACCAAAGTAACTGGACAAAACAGAAGCGAGTACGAAATTTTTAAAGGCCTAGTGAGAAATTTGAAGGAATAGGAATTCAAACGGAGATAATATTTCAGCAATCTAGTTTCAAAATTTATGGGGCAATACTTAGAGAAATATTTACAAAGCATTCATTATTTAGACTTTGTTTTCACGAACAAAAGGTTGGTAAATAGCGATTAATTGGATTTATACAGCTTTGACATACTGCCAGGAAGGACATCTCTATGGAGAATAGTCGTTACAAATGAGTAACAAGAAAAATGACAGTTTGACAAAATCAATAAAGAGAACTGTCGATCAAACGGGATGAGTTAAAAAAAAACACTGGTTTTCCTAACCTTTTCGCAAAAGGCGTCACTAGATTAAAACGATTTTAAGAAATACTGTTCAAAATGTTTAAGAAAGGTTTGTTAGTGTGTTTTTTTTTTTTTTTGGTTTTCAGTTATTTTTGCCCTGTTTGAAGGGGTATTTCAAATGCGAGTGTTGCCTTATGAAATTGCATTCAAAATATACTGTTATTGTTACTGAGGTTTTAATTCTCCTCTATGAGGATCGTTACTTTCCGTAAATTTGTCTGCTTGCTGCCTGTGCCCCCATTCATCCACCCTTGAACACGGCCCTGTGTTAAGTCGAAGAACTTTTTGACTTAGAAACTAAAGAGGTTGAAATCAGGAGAGAAAGAGAAGGGAAAAAAAAGCAAAAAAGAGTGAAAAACTGTTAGATAACAAAGAACCAGAACTGGTATTTTTCGTAGTCAAATATTGTCACTCGGAATGCATGAGCTCAAAATCAGTGTAGCGCCATTTGCGCTTTTTTTTTGATGAAATGTTTGAACATATTTTTCATGGCTTTTTCACCTCATAATCAAAGTATTCTATATTCGTTTCAGTATAAGGTTTTCCTAATAATACAACAATGTTTTAAGAACTGCGGTTCAATATATTAATCCGTCCAAATCATCATTTTAGTGTATTATTACCATAATCAACTACACTATCAGATCATTCTAGTAGCTTCTTTTATGTCTTTCATTTATAAGTGTTTAAGTTATAACCGGTTCATCATTTGTCATTACAGATCATAAAAGTATCTGTATAAAGATCACGTGAACACATTCTCGTCAACCTCGTTCCAGGCTTCTCTGATTTTTTTTTTTCAATATCACGTGATAATCAGTGCTAACAGCTTTGTAGCGTCCGCCATTTTGAAAATAGCTACAGAGATCGAGGGCACTGGGAACTGCTTTTTGTAAACTTTGCCCTTTACACCACAGGCARCCCAAGTAAACATRACGTAAAATTYATCGAAAAACATGARTACATGTGATAAAYTTGAACAAACTTTCGCTTCGAGTTCCTTAWCGCATTYAAAGGATTTTTTCTCCTTATTTAGAGTAATWTCAAGGCWGTTTTGTATTTCTTACWCTAGAAGAACTGTGACACCGMGGACACGGCTTGCGGATCTGGACACATCGACTTAAATGAACAAATATATCACAAAATAACCCTTAAACTCACCAAATAACATCACAGCTAGCAAGGTAGAGAATCAGTTCATGTAGACAGTTAACGTTGATCCAGTTCTGAGCATAAAAACCGCAGAATTTTTGGACTTGTTGTCTATATTTATCTGATCAATTTTGTACTTTTCACATGCCGACGGATGTCAGCGAGTGACCATCACACATCGTTGATTGGCTGTTTAATTGGCTGTTTGTGATTGTGGATTAGTACTAAAGAATGGGAGTGGTCATCATCTCAAATGCAAAATCATCTTGAAACAGTTTTGTTCTCTACAGCGGTTTGGTAGTGGGCCAAGCCCCACATTTGGGCGGATATTTCATTTTTGATCATTCATATATTTATTTGAAAAAAACAACAACAACAACAACAACAACAACATCAACAACAACTAAAAAACAAAGAAATGCGCATTTCTTTTCCAGTTACAATACGTTTTTAATACTTGCGTCCAAGGGGAGTCTATGTGGAACCTAACCAGTTACATGTAATTGTAATATAATTTTGTTGACAATTTATTAAGATAAGTTCTTTTTAGTTTATTACATCATCCTTGTAGTTTTCCAGTTAAAAGTAAACTTCTCAATTCCAGTCTTGACATTCTTTGCATTCCTGTTAATAGCAAACAAAAGGAATAATGTTGAAGATAAATGTCAGTTAAATAAACTACATATATCTTTCTTTTCACGCGACGGTTTGAATCAGGAAAGCACACAATGATAGTCTAATATTGACTTGATAATTTCTAAAGCATCTTCCAAAATCATTATTATCAAATAAATAAAAAATCATCCACAGGTAAGGGTAAACAATTCTAAACAGTTAAAGATTTTATCATAATTTGTCAGCAATTACTTACATATCAAGCCCGGCTAGCTCAGTCGGTAGAGCATGAGACTCTTAATCTCAGGGTCGTGGGTTCGAAACCCACGTTGGGCGAAGATCATTTTTGGAAACAAATGCAATTACCTTTAAGATATTTTTACCCACGACTCTCCTTTAGCGAATACGCATTCCAGTTTTGTGCTGTCTAGCGGACACGTGTATTTAGTAACACGTTTGAATAAAGTACAGAAGACCAGTCCAATATCGAGATCGTAGAGCCGCACTGCTTTGCAGCCTTGAATAGTTTCACATCGTTGTTTACAATTGACACTTGCTGTTTTCAAGTCAGAATGGAATGATGTTTTACCGATGATGTCTCCTTCAATGAACTTGTAATTTGCTTTCTTCCATTGAGTTGCTAAAATATGTCAAAATGAAACGATTCATTGATAGGTTCATATCTTGGTCACCGTGCATGCTTGTCCCAGTGAATCCACACACACACAAAAACAAAAACAAAAACAAAACAAAACAAAACAAAAACAAACAAACAAAAAAAAACATATACATTCCTCACGCTGACATTCCTCATGTAATTCCAAAGGTTATTAATACATGTTATTGTACATATTGCAAAAATAAAGGATTAATTAATAGGTTTATCTCTTGGTCGCCATGCTTGTCTCCCTTCATACATCAGGGAACCCACAAAAAAACATATACATTCCTCACTTGGGCATGTAATTTCAAAGGTTATTAGTACAGTACATGTGTTATAGTACATGATATTGCGATACTGTAGCCAGTCCCCTGATATGTGCATGCATAAATTATACTAAATTCACATCTAAAAATTTGTCATTAGAATTCTAGTTCTCCACCGGATAGCCATCAACCTTGAAATAAGCTTGAAATACGAAAATAATCGAATTTGAAAAATACTTTATTAGTATGAAAAAGTCATGCTTTGTATTTGGTTGGTGAGAAACATGCGTTGCCAGCCATGCAAGGTGAGTTTTGACGAGAAAACGATGCTAGTACTGAGCTCTAACAGCAAGCACAAACCAACCATGCTTAATACAATTGTTATGGAGTAACAATCTTTTCCCTTTCCACCGTCTTGGAATAATACCTTTCTTTAAAAATTTGTAGACGAAATTTGCTCTTTCCTGTCCAACGCCAACGACACAATTTTCCGCTTCGCCATCTTTACTGTATGACGTCATTGCATCCTTCCCACTCCAGCATTCACCGTAAAATTGTACTCCAAACACACTGAAGCCTCTTTGATCGGCAAGTTGCGAGCACTTATCGATTGTCTTATTAAGATTGTGCCAATCGATACTGTTTCGTAGATCCGCGAGTAATGTTGGCAGTGGTCGGGGACTCTTTCCCAGATCTCGGAAGCAACCGATTGCTGCATATTTCTGTGCTTGTTTGGAACCTATGACTATATATTTTTAAGCGGCTTTGAACACAATTGCGGAATGTATTTTTTAATTTTTAGTTTAAAATACGCGCCCAACAGCTAAGCCAAAAAAGAAATGTTTATAGCAAAAAAGAGGGATAAAGTTGGTACAACAACTGCACATGCGCAGTGAAGACTACACACGATCCATTGTTTCTATGTATACATATTATTGGGATGTTGAAATGTTATTTGTCTATAAGAGTCTAATAAACTTATCTCTGAACTCTACTAGAACATGTAATATGTTTAAAAACAGGGATATCTTGGGTGGTGATCGGCAGTCTTCAGGCTCAAGCCGGGGCGGGTGATTCCGTGATTTCTTCTCTG